AGACCAACTCTCTTCTATACTTTGCGGTAGTCCTATCCATGCTGCAGTAATTAAAATATTAATCAAAGATAATACAAGAAAATGCATGTCTTGCAAAGATGCTTCCATGATAAAATGCATGGTGGGAGTAAGGATTTAAATAGAGATGGACTGAGGGATGCGGTCATATCCTTTGAAAATTTCAAATTATCATATGGTGTTGGTATTTTATTTATTTTGTACGAATCTAATTTCATACTCTCTGAAACACATCTAAATTTATAATGTATCTTCTTAAGTCAGCACCGTGTGACATGAAATCCTACCTCCGTCCATGAATTTAAATGCCGGTCACAGCACCGCGATTGAAAATGTAACGAAAGAGTACTTGAGATAATTGAACTTACTCATGACTGGCAAACTGGTAAACCTTTCCGGAAGAAGAGAAGATGACCAAGGCAACTTCAGCATCACAGAGTATGGACAGCTCAAAGCTTTCTTGAGAACCCATTTTCTTTTGAGAAGTGGCTTGCCTGCTTGTTGAGTTCTCAATTCTTTTCAACTCAACCTTGCCTCTCCCCATTTCATTTGTATCCACCTAAATCTAGTAAAAATGTTTTATGCTTAAACTTCAATGTTTAGCCATACTTTTAAAAGAAACGAAAGCAGAAAAGGAGAAAACAAAGAAAAGGGTGTTGATTATGAAAGATGAAGACATGTTCCCCATTGTATGCAAGCAAAAAACGATTGAGCTTACCATCATCCAATTAGAGCATAGATGTCGGGCAAAAACGACGACTCTGGTGACACGACCACGCTACTCAAATGCATTCTCATAATTCCAAATATTTCTTGATTTCCTTGTACAATGGGGTCCCTAGGAAACCCACTACCACCAGAAGAACCAAATAAAAGCATAGATGGTATTTACCTATTAGCTTTCTTGCCAGTTTCATAGATTCATAGAATAATACTATATTCATCAAGTTCAAATAGAAAAAGGTTTCAACTTGATTTAAAATTAGTAACTGGAGACATCATTTGAATTCAATCAAATTTTACTTTTTAAAACCAAGCTTACTTCAAGAATAATATTGATCAATTCCATTTGCCTACTAAAAGATGAACCCTACTCATGCTCAGCGTTACTCAAATCAGGTCACTAACTTAAACCCTAATCCTAAGAGAGATGAACAGGGAAATTTTCAAAGGGATTAATCAATAAAGTCAATAACCATATTCTAATAACATCAAATAAATAAACCTTTTTTCAACAAAAAAACACATATGAGGCATGTGTAAGAGCATAAACATTCCCAAATGCTAAAATATACTATAATTTCCCTCAATATGCAATTAGTCACAACAAAACTCCAATTTGCTTGATGCCAACACATGATTAAAGAAAATGATGCTGATATATTCAACTCGAAAATGATTTGCAAGGAGAGAAAACAAGATAAAAGGGCATGGATATAAAGTTTGTTTTAGTCCAAGATAATAGTGGAGTAGCATATATAAATCAACAATCAGTGTCGGAATTTGAAGATAGACATATATTTAATAATACAAATTTCATATATAATTATAATAAATTTTAAAACAGGTACAACAATAAAAATAACTATCTAAATAAAATTTAAATTTTAAAATATACTCATATCCAATTAAGAGTTGATCTGCCACAACCGGCAATCAGCCAACAGGGGTGGTTCATTCAGAGCTAATGGGTGAATAACGGATACATCAGCCTACAGTCCCCAGCTAGGCATTTTTCCAAACAATACATGGTTATTCGACACGTATGAATCATGGTACAATCAAATGATTCTGGAACCCAAGGGGAGGCCGACACGTGTTATGAAACTGCTGATTGAAGACGTAAGATTGGAATTGGGATTGGAGGGTATATATTATTTGCTATTATGGATCGAAAGTTGAATGGTGAACCTGGTAAGACAGGTGTCGAGATATCTTTGTCGATCTAGGGACCATTAATGTTTTTTTTCTTTAAAAAATTAAATATTTTTCGAGCGGATATAATTATTTAAATTTACTTTTTTTATTATTAAAATCGTTCGATTGTATTTATATATAATATTTATATCCCTTTCAAATTATTATGCGCAACGTAACTAACAAACCCAAGGAGCATCATGTTCTATTTATATGTTCACATAAAGGAGTTTCACTGATATGTGAAATCAATACATTTGAAAGGTAATCTCAAAGACTTAAATCATAAATGTTGTGGGAAATGATTGAAACTAAATGAAATTCATTTTATTCTATTCGTATTTTCTCATTTTTGGTAAATTATATCAACGTCGTTAATGTTCGTAAAATATTACATTATCTTATATTATATATTATTATTGATTTGTATAATAAATAATCATTCAATTATAGATATAACATGGTAAGTTAAATTATTAATTTATTTCTTTATTCTTTTGTCTTTTTTTTTCCTTGACTTGAATGTTTACTATTCACCCTTGATAAGCGTAATGGTGATTCAATAAATTAGTGACAAGTGAAGTTTAAAATTTCAGATGAATGGTGATGGGAGTTGAAGACAACAAGAAGTAGCAAAGCGATAAACAAAGGGTTACATAATCAACATCAATGAGAAGCGTAGAATTAAATACCGTCGTACATCATTTTTCCGGCTAAATCCACGAGTCGAGACAAACGGACTCGAGCTACTACAGACGTCAGCCGCGTAGTAAATCGAAACACAACAACTATATAGCAATAAAAGTCCAAATAATAAATCAGAATTAAAAAAAAAAGTTTATCCGGCGTAGATGCGGATGCCGACGGCCAAAATGAGGATAGTGAAGAGGACAAAGAAGAGAAGAGTGTGGATAACGAGGCTTTGCCATTGGTCTGAAAGTTACCGAACTCGAAAGTTCGGTTGTTCCCCGGAAGCTGGAAGAGGAGGCCGGGGAGAGCAGTATGAAGAGCAACAGCCCTATAACAATGGGCGCCCATCCTTCATTGTTAGCGCTTATAGACTGATATATGATTTTCTTCTTTTGGCTGTGAACTCTCTCAGTCAAAACAACAAACACAAGGAATGCTTTCAAACAATGCAATGGTACATTAGTACGAGCTTATATAATTATGGAGAAAAAACGAAAAAGGTGAAATTCAAAGAGTATTGTTAGAGTTTCGCGTTGTTGCGTAAAGTGCAATGGACCTTTCATATGGGTAAATTACATATTCATCACTTAACTTTAATTATATTTTGATTTGATATCTAAATTTTAAAACCTTTTAATTTGATCACTTAATTTTTCACATTTCTCTTTTTTTTTATCACTATGCCATTAATTATTAGCGATGTTACGGAAGACATCTATATTTTTAAAAAAAATGAAAAGGCCCCAACACTTCTTTTTAGATTTATAAAATATCTCTAAAATTTTCTTTCCAAAATTTTAACCTAGCTTTTCGAATCCTCATTGATTTTCTGATGTTGGAGTATCTTTTCTTTTCAATATCAATGACGAGGATGTTGAGGAGACGAACAATATATTATGATTCCACCACGATAGGATGATGGAGATTGCATATCAATTTTTTTTTATTAAGTTTGAGTTATTTTTTCATGAGATTAAAGAGATTTTGGAAAAATCTTAATTGATAGAGTGGTAAGAGACAATGAGATGAGTTCATAAGTGCATTAAATGATTATAAAAATAATTATGTCGAAGGCGACATGATACATGAATGGAACTCTAAGAATTTTAAGGTTCTTTGGAAGACGATAAATGGAAAAAAAATAAAAAAGAGAGAGAAAACGAGATGACTTACACGTTAATAAATTAGACCACGTCATCTTGTTGTTTATGATTAACGTTAGAATGACTAAAAACGAAACAATTTGAAAGTTGAGTGATTAAATTAAAACTTTTTAAAGTTTAATCATCCAAATATTATTCAAATAAAATTCAAGCAATAACATAAAAGAATTTAAATTATTATTTTTCAATGTTACCTTTCTATACAAATAATATTCATAATAAAAACATGTATGATCTTTCAAATACATTCAACATTTACTTCCAAATTCTAATAACATAAAGTACAATAACCATATACCTTTTGTTTTCTATATTCTTGCTTTGGGATGCTTTGAATACGATCAAAGTTTCCAATAAATAACGGTGAAATTCTTTTCTTTTAATGAACAGCTTCGATTAGATTGAATAGTATGAATGCTTGATAACCTTTTTTTATATATAAAAAAAAGGTCAAGCGAAGGTCCTTTTCTTTGGTCCAAAGAAATGCGAATGGTGAGCAATCCATTTGGGTTAAGAATCTCTCAACTAAGGCTGAGCACCACAATGAACCGATCCTAAAATATTATACAGATTTATATGATTATAGGATAATATAATTTTATAATAAAAAATTTAAATATCAAATAAACCTAATAAAATGCTCGGGAAAAAAGTAAACTCATATTTAAAATTTCAACTCAAATAAATCATGATTAAATAGTTGAAACTGCATTAAATGTTAAATGTACTGATTATTATTAAAAAAACCAATTATTAAACTTTAAATTGAGGTTGTCATTAGTGAAGTAACCAATAGTAAAATATATTGATTTTTATCTTCTTTCTTCTTTTTTAGTTAATTTTCTCGAAATTAAGAAAATGAATTAAAGTTTCAACATTTTTATGGCATGATTTGAAATCTCTATCGTTTAATCATCGTACAGTCTAAATCTATTACTTCTCTTTTGTTTCCGATCGTCGTCGTTTTGATTTGTTTAAAAAAAACTGTGTGATTGCTGAATAAAATAAGTATAAAAGATTTGAGTTTGAGAGAGAGTTTTAAGATTTTTTTTTTACACGAAAGGACACGAAACACTTGAGTGACACAAGAGCGAAGTTTGAACATTAAATGATAAAATAAAAAATTTAAGATTAAATAATTAAAATATAAAATATAAATAAAAAAATTCGCGAAAATTAGAAATCTCACTAAATCCCATTAAATTGGATCAAATTTCAGTTTTAAAATATTCCACGTGGAAAAACGTGGTTGGCTACACTTCCAACAAATTTCATAATCTCCCATTTCTTAGGGTTTTCGTGGTTCCGTTTGTTATCCTATCTCCTCTTTCCGGTCGGAAAGTGTTCCGGCGAGTTCTCCCAACAGGATTCACGACCCACGGTTATTCCATTTTTCACGTCAAAATTCAGAAACTCCAAAGAACTCCCCTGCGCTTTTTCTGAAGCTAAGAGTCTTCAGTGCTTTTTTTTCGATCACTTCAGTTTCCCTCTTAAGCTCAGCTCAGTTTGTTTATAATTAATAAATTCCAGCTGAAATTTTAATATATTTATCTGTTTGATTGGAATCCCCTGATTCGACGCAAATCAAATAAGTTTCTAATTTTTGTAAGTGGTTTATTATTTTTTGTTGAAGGTGTGATTTATTTTTTGTTAATTTGTTTCTATTCGTTTTTCTTTAATATCTGAAAATTGGAAATTCTATGCGATTAGCTTGGATTAGAGATGGCAAGTCAACGTGGTTCGTCGAGGCGAAGTTTATCAATGGTAAGTATGTCACCAGCAAGAAAAAGAATATCGGAGAGTGGAGGTTCAGAATCTATACGAAAACTCTTACCGTCTTCTCGTTCTATGTAAGTTATTTAATTTCAATATCATGTTCAATTTTCACCGCGATACTAGTTGAATTGAATTTTAAAGGATTATTGAAGTTTTAGCCAAGGAAAATTTTAGGATATGAATTTTAAAAAATTATATTAGAAATATAAGGATGTGAAACTACAAAGCTAAGAGAAACTGAATTAAATCATCAATATAACATACAAATAAATACCTAAACTATGTGGTAATTTAAAATTTCCTGAGCTTTTTTAGAGTTTTATTACGGATAATTGAATTTGAATGGATTGAAGGAAAACTATAATTAACATAACTAGTATACATTATTTTAGTTGCTTTTGGAAAGATCTTTAGCTTTATTGCTGCTGCTTGAATAATCTTCAATGGTTTGGGGAGTACCTGATTGGAAAATTTTGTGGGTCACTTCTAGATGATTCTTAACAGATGTTTCCACACTTTATTCTTTTTAACTTGGCGTTAGCTCTTGAATATTGCCAATAAAAAGTGAGTGGTGTGCCTATTTTGGGAAGCTGTCTTCTGCAAAGGAAGAGGGTATGGACTGTGGACGGGTATATTGCGTAGGATTTGAATTAAAAAACATAGAGTAACCACGATCTTCGTTTTCCTTTTTACCTTGTATGTGTTGTTTATGTTGCTTGGCAATGCATCCAACATAGGAGCATTCTTTATTTCCCTTTTATTTGGAGGTTCATACTTATATTTTTGAGGATGTGCTCATGTTTAGGTTACAGATGTGTCTAACACAAGTACTTCAATCAATCTGAAAGGGTTGGATCAATACGTTTCATCTTCTAGCTGTACTGCTTTAAACATGAACCTTCCTTTCTTTTCTTTAAAATATGTTTGGTCTCGTTATTTTGAAATTTAATCGACAAGAGTAGAAGCTGCTATTACTCTTGATAATTGGTGAAATTTTTGGAATTCTAACTAGTATAAAATTTCGTCTTCATAGTATTAATCAAACTTTTTGTTTAAACTTGCATGTGGAAAGGGCACTTTCTGGAGAGCGTACCGTGAAGAAGCTGCGGCTATCAAAGGCTTTGACGGTACCTGATAGTACAAGCATTTATGAGGCTTGCCGTAGGATGGCTGCTCGTAGGGTTGATGCTTTATTACTCACTGACTCTAATGCATTACTCTGTGGAATCCTCACTGACAAGGTGTGACTTATATTGTGGATTGTAACAAATTCTTTTATACACAATTCTCCAACAAGTTGCGACAGCTACAAGATTTAATTTCTTCACTCTGATATGATATCTTAAGCTATGCTCTCTCAGGCATTTCAGACTTGACAATTGTATTACTCAATTATTTACTCTTTAGCTATTGGGGGGAGGGTGTGGCTTTTGTACTCACTGCCTTCAGTCGTCTAGTGAACTATGATGTCTCTTATTTAGTGAGTTTTCATCTTTTTAATGCCTGAAGGACATAACACTAAGAGTGATTGCCCGGGAACTTAGTCTGGAGGAGACACCTGTTTCCAAGGTGATGACTAGGAATCCTGTATTTGTTCTTTCTGACTCTCTTGCTGTGGAGGCACTCCAGAAGATGGTGCAAGGTTGGCCTTATGTGATTGACAACCACCATTCTGTGTGATATACTTTCTTATAGCTTATCGTCTAATGTTGTTCTGATTTCATTAAACAGGAAAATTTAGACACTTGCCTGTTGTAGAGAATGGGGAAGTCATTGCTTTACTCGATATAGCTAAGTGTTTGTATGATGCTATTGCTCGAATGGAAAGGGCAGCTGAGAAGGGAAAAGCCATTGTTGCAGCTGTTGAGGGTGTAGAAAAGAATTGGGGAACATCTTTATCTGGTTGGTGGATAGTGTATTCTTTTTTTTCAATGGAGTTGCTTTTGTGCATAGTTGTGGTTTTCCTTTTGTGTTTTAGTTTTGGAATCAGCAAACCAATTCAGTCTGTGCAATCTTATGGGGTGATATGCAGGTCAGAGTACATTCATTGAGACACTTCGGGAGCGTATGTTCAGGCCGTTACTGTCTACGATTATTACAGACAATCCAAAGTAGGTAATACTTTCTCTTTATGCATTATCTGTTAATGGTGTTCTGTCCACACATTATATTATGAGTAGCTTTGCTTAACGTGATGCCCATCTGTCAGGCTTGTAACGGTTTCACCTGATGACACAGTTTTAGCTACTGCAAAAAAGATGCTTGAATCTCAATTTAACTCTGCAGTTGTGACAGTTGACAAAAAACCACGAGGGATTATAACGTGAGTCTATTTTGAATCAAATTGCATTTCTACATTGTTCGCTATGTAGCTGAGGGAGGAAAGGATGGAGTTTTAATCTGTTTTGTTGTTTTTAATTATTGCGGTTGTCAGTGGCATATCCTATATTCTAACTTATGCCTTTGAATTCTGACAGTTCAAAGGATATATTGATGCGGGTAATAGTGCAAAATCTGTCTCCAGAGACTACTACTGTAGAAACGGTGAATTTTACCTTGATCTCATTTTATGTTCCCATTTTATTCTCATGACTTGGTCGTATGCACATTAGTAGCAACTTACCAGTTTTTAACCTATATATTCGTTTTGATCTCATGGATAGGTCATGACTCCGAACCCAGAATGTGCAACAGTTGACACACCAATTGTTGATGCTTTGCATACCATGCATGATGGGAAATTTTTACACCTTCCTGTAGTAGATAGAGGTTATATGAATTGCTACCTTGCTAAGAATATATTGTTGTATGTACATCAATCTGGTTCTTAATAAGTTTCTATGGTTGGATGCAGATGGAGAGATTGTTGCTGTTGATGTACTCCACATTACTCATGCCGCTGTTGCCACTATAAGTCAAGTCAGTATTGTTCCAAGACTTTGGTGTTTTTGAAGTAATTTTATGGGATAAATGCTATAGCATATGAATATTTATTCCAAAGCATTTAACAAACCTGTTTACATATCTTTGTAGATGGGTTTGAGAATCAAAGAAGATTATGATTCTCTTTCTCCTATTTCCTTCGCAATTCATGATTTTTTATGGTCTTGGCGTCTTCTTCAATAACTAGGTTGGGACTGCTTCTGGAATCAATAATGAGACTTCCACGACGATGATGCAAAGGTTTTGGGATTCTGCATTGGCCTTACCACCCAATGAAGTTGATGACGATGCTCGAAGGTTTTCTTTATCTATGTTCCTCTAGATATAGTTGTATTTTTGCCATTACCGTCTACTAACTTAGTGATAGTGATGTCTCAGTGATAATTCTTTGAAGCTGGCTTCTGAAGTAGCTGAGACAGGGAGAGTTCTTCCCTATCCTTCACCCAATTTGCCAAACACATTCGGTTTCAAAATACAAGACAAAAGGGGAAGAATGCATAGATTCTTTTGGTATGCTTCTGTTCCATGAAAATATAGCCCTTTATTTTGCATGCGGCACAGGTGCAAGCGTTTGTTGTCTTATCAAATTGTGCAGCCTAACCAAAACTTGCCAAGTAATCTTATAAATGACACTAGCTGCAAGAATTGATCTTTCACCTTTTTTTGATCCAAGTTCTAATCTTATTGTTAATATGTGTGATTAACAACTGGTTAGTTCATGGTCTTGGGCATTATGCTCTGTAGATAGTATAGGAGGATCTTCTCCTTCATCAACAACCTGCATTTATACCTACTGTTATGTCCAGGAAAATCGTACATTAATAGGTAGTTTGTTTATTGCTTCACAATACAGATACGCGAAGTATGACAGATCTAATACTGCAATCCTTCATAGACTGGAGGATGACATAGACAGGAACAGGGTGCCCCAAATTCTGGTAGGCATTTGGGAAAAAAAATTATTTTTGATGAAGATGAAGACGATGTGTGTCAAATTTGTATGTTTTGATAATTGGTGGGCATATTATGCAGTATGAAGATGAAGATCATGACAAAGTTGTACTGACATCAGACAGTGATCTCGCAGCGGCTGTGGAGCATGCAAAATTAGTTGGTTGGAAGGTATGACTGAACCGTCTTTTTATGAATAGAAAGCTGATAGAGTATTTTACAGTGGAATTCACCATTCCTCCGAAGCTATGTTCCTCCGATAGTAATTATTGAGGGATCTTCCAATTGCATGATCGGTTGAAACTCCTAACAGCCAGGTATTATGTCCTTGAGACAGCATTGTCATAGAGTAATTGAGGTTTTGTCTTCTAACCCTTAGCGGGTCCTGGGGAGCGCCTCGGAAGGGAGGTCGAGAAGGGTGTAAAGTGGTGCTAAGGTGAATACCAAGCTCTCTTAATAGTGCTCTACACCCTGCTTGACCTCAAACATTCTATGATAATGTTATCTCAAGGAAATAATACCTGATTATTAGGAGTTGCAATCGGCCGTACAATAGAAAGATCCCTCATCAATAACAACTTCATTAAGCTCAATTAAGTAAAATCTGGTTGATGAATTTTGCAGGGTTTGAGGTTGCATTTAGATTATTCAGGAAAACAAACCATCGAAGGGGTTCGGGTTCAGGAAGCTTGGATTATGCTCAATCTGATGCGTGGGCCGCCGCGTACAGTGCGGTGGCAGCTGGGGCTGCTGTTGTGCTGGGCTGGGCTTATTAGCATACTTGAAGAAAGCCGGTAATTAGCATTGTTAAACTTCCCCTTCATAAAAATGGCTCTTGTGCTTGATTTATTCCCTAATTTATTAGGTCAACATACAATAGCATAGAGATTAACAAATCCTTTTGTTTGATGGCTTCTTCTTTGCTGCCTGCATAATTTTCAACATTGGTCGTCTCCACTGAAAATTTTGACACTTGTTGAAGGGTGAAATCACCTTGTGTAAGGAAAATAAACAGAGCTGCATTTCATGAAATTCAGTTTTAGATTTTCCAGAAACAACCCTCGATTATGTCTCTCCGTTGTGGTTATATTATGGTATCTATTCTTTTTAATAATTTTTTTGTTGTGGTTTTATTATACTAGTATTTATTTCCTTTTTATTTGGACAAATTCACATATTTTATAGACATTATTTGAGTTAGTATTATTACAAAAAAGCATATTTCTCTATAATCAACTTATAATAAAGATATCAGAACATGCTTGTGGATATGACGTACCCATTTTACAATTAGATTGATCATTGACACTTTTTATGTATAAAATTATTATTCACAGATTATGGTGTATTAAATAATAAATATTTAACAATTAATATATGTATTAGTTTTTTTTAATCTAGGGTGATGTTTGTTCTAAAGATTCTCAACTATTTGATAACGAAATTTCAAACGTTATTGTTGTCCCTGGTGTTTGAACTTGAGATCTATAGGAATAACAATTATTTCTTTAATTAATGAGGTAATTTTGTTCGTGCATATGGATTAATTTACCTGTGCGGGGTATGCCCAACAGACTCAGTGTGGCTCCTTACCACTCAGAATATCAAAACATTGATCTCAGGCTTTTTACTACTTTCTGAGAATTGGGACTGGCAACGAGCACGGTGCGAAGAAAATCAATAGAGTTTTTATACTTCAAGCAAGCCTCTTCAAAAGCACAATTGCTTCCACCTCTAGTTTCGCCCATTCCCAAGTGACATACAACATCGGATCATCGTTGCCTATAATAGAGCTGTTGGACAGAGGAGGAGGACCGTTAGGTTCAGAAATATTAGTAGTAGAACTAGAAGAGGAGGTTGTAAGAGTGGTGAACCATAAGGTGCTTTGAATGTTTCTTCTATATGAAAACTAAATATGAGGGTTCAATGTCAAATGGTTGAAAGTTATCTTTAAATAAATACTACATTGTATTTACCCCAGATTAATCAAATAATAATAATAATAATAATTGTACTAACCTTATATACTTGCCAAGTAGATATGTCCGTAAAATTTCCCATTGTCGATCTATTATAAGCTTGATGCTTTCATTCTCGTTTGCAAGATCCTATAAACATAATCACCAGATTAGCTGCATTTTGCAGACACTAAATGACACTAAGGTTCATGGATTAAGATTCAAAATAAAACAACAACTGAAAGAAAATGATCAGCTACAGGCCTCATTGTTAACACTTCCAAGAATAACATGAAACATTCCAATATCTATGCCTTCTAAACCAAGATAGAATCACACTAAGACACTACTTAAAAAATGAAGCTCAAACTTCAGCACATTCAAAATCCCTTTCCCTCCCTAGGGCCTAGGCTTCGGCTTCCTTGTTAGGAAAGAAAAGGTGACATAAGAGAGAAAAAAAATCCGAAGCCCAAGCTTAGCCCACATAGTTTATTAAGCTCAACATGGAAGGAGACATTGTTTAAGGTAGCCGTCTAGCTCAGTTGGTAGAGCACAAGGCTTTTAACCTTGTAGTCGTGGGATCGAGTTCCACTTAGGGCAATTCATAACTAAGGTCTTCTACGGAAAGCTGCTCTCAACCTGGCGTTGGGGCACAACCTACTATTCTACCTCCCCTTACTCTCATTACATATGAGAATAGGGTCAGCTAATTTAGTTAGCCAAATCCACCCCCATTAAAGAGTGGAAAGCATACTACTACTGTAAAAGGCTTGGAGTTCTAATTTCCCAACCTCTGCTTCATCTGCAGTTTGAACCCGTTTTCAAATGTTTTTGCCTATTTAAAGATTAAAAGATACATATTCCTTGAACTAATATAAACACATTCAAAATTCATACGAATGAAAACCCCTAATACAAACAAAATTAGAGTCAGAAAATATATAGAGTGAAAAATTACCACTACTGTGTAAAGAGAATGAACGGAGTATACCGCAAGCGAGCCTCAACGAGAGCACAATTGCCGCTACTTCCAGTTCCACCCATTTTTAAGTGATGGGCACCACCAACGAGACATAACGTCGACAGCGGGATTTGAACTTGCGCGGGCAGAGCCCAACAGATTTCGAGGCTGTCTCCTTAACCACTCGGACATGTCGACACTTTGATGCCTATTTAGTATTTACTATTTAAATATCTAAATATCGGCGAGCATAGCGCGAGAAAATGAACACAATATACCTCAAGCGAGCCTCAACGAGAGCACAATTGCCGCCACCTCCAGTTCCACCCATTTTTAAGTGACGGGCACCACCAGCTGCCGAATTTGCCTAAAACAAGCCGGTGGCAGAGAAGGTAAAATAAAAAAGCACAAATAACATTAAAAAGAAAAAGAGATCCGTCGACAGCAGGGTTCGAACCTGCGCGGGCAGTGCCCAACAGATTTCAAGTCTGTCTCCTTAACCACTCGGACATATCGACGAATGTGGAGACGTAGTAGTTTATTACTTTTATTAATAATGAAATTACTTTTTTTAAGTATTAATCCACTTATTTTTAATTATTGATATTATTTATATTTTTTTATTATCCCCCATTTGCTTTCCCTTTTTCTTCTCCTTCCTGGTCAGGTTTTTGTCTAAAACTCCCACTTCCAAGATATTCATAATTCTTCAGGAATGTTCCTTCAACGAGCTCTACAGAATTCAAAGTTTCTAAAAAAAATGGGTTTCAAAAATGAAAATAAAAAAGTGGCATAGGATAGTTCACCAAGAGCTAATGGTGTTGAGACAAATGGAAACAACAGCTGTTGTCCTTCATTTGAAACTCAATTTGACTTTATTAAAGTTCACCAAGAAATTAAACTACATTGTTTGCACGCCCTTCAAGCATTTGAACCATTTGAGTCATGTTCGACCTTAGTTTGCCCACTTTAATATATGCACCAGAAATTTACATAAGCCGCTAATACCCAATCACATGCCTTTCTTCCTCGAGAGTGAATGTCGACTGCCATTGTTTCATCATTTTGGGTTTGGATGAAATAGTAGAACTTAAGGTGGAGGGTGAGGCCAAATAGCAGAACGTAGGGTGAAGGGTGACAACGTTGAAGGGGGGGTTTGTGAGTTGGAATTTGGAGTTTAGGATGCAGAAATCTGCTCTCGGCGGCGGTGAAGCTGCATTTTACTGTGATTGTTTTCTAAGGTAAACAGATTTCAGGTATTTTTATTACTTTTTCTATTTTTTCTTTTAATATACATTTTAATGATTAAAAAATTGATTAATTAAGTGATGTCATAACACAGTTAAAAATTAACGGTTTATTAAAGTATAACTAATAAGTGAATGATAAATAGTAAAGTTTAATAGGTTAAATTTATCTTAAATTTTAGAATATACAAAATTAAATAATTAAAAAAAATTTATAAAAAAAATTAAATATAAAAAAAATTAAAATTTTTAGAGAGCGATCTCACTTCAGCACTTTATTTGGGTTTCAATTAAGTCACTGCCTGTATGTATGTGTGTATGTATGGTTAATGTTTAGTTGTTTTTCTTGATGATGATGAGTGATGTCACAGGAAAATTAGGCCTTGTCCATCAACAAATCCGGGTTGTATTTCAACAAATGCAAAGTCATCATCTTTGCTTTCCCATGGATTGTACCCGAGAGTTCTAAAGATGCAGTTCAGGTTTGACAAATTTGTTCAAAAGTTTCATGATGGGTTTGGTTTTTGAGAGCTTGTTTCATTGCAGGAACTACAGGAAGCAATTCCCAAAACTCAGAAGAATGCCAAGATTTTGGTTGTGGAAGATACCCCAACTGGTAAGTTAAAACCGAAACAGCTGCATTGTTCTTCATTTTCTTTTTCTTGAATTACTCGTGTTAATCGGATTCGGGTTACGAAGATATGATTCATAAGTACTCATGTGTAGCTCGTAGCTGAGTCTTAGTTATTATTATATGATGTTGTAAATTG